CCCATCCTCTGCACAGACACACACACTTTTAAGCCCCACCCCAGGCCATATCTCCATATCCCAGGGCCAGTCTCCTGCCCCACTGCACATTGTTATTCGCATTCCAGTTGCATCTAGAGGTCACACTCTGAACTGGGCCCCACTGAGCTAGGTCCTGTACACCCACACTCAGCACTAGATCCTGTACGCACACACTCAGAGCCAGCCCCCACTGCGGTAGGTCCTGTACGCACACACTCAGGGCTGGGACCCACTGGGCTACATCCTGTATGCATACACAGTGCCAGGCCCCATGGTGCTAGGACCTGTACACACACACTCAGGGCCAGGCCCAGCACATGCCCAGCCAGGAGAGATTCCAGGGGCCACAGCACAGCTGGGTTTGGGGGAGGGATTGAAGAGAGGAGAAGGGAGCAGCTTTACTAATACTGAGGGGATGTTTTTCCTTGCATGGATGGGAAGGGGGAGAAAACTCTGAGGTGTTTAAGGGAGAAGCAGACCGGCGGGTGACCCAGGCTGTGGGTGACCAGACATCCCAATATTAGGGGCTTTGTCTTATAAAGGCAACTATTCCTCCACCCCCGCACAAGAAAAAGTGTCCAGATTTTTCACACTATCTGGTCACCCTACCTAGACTGCCAGGAGAAAAAAAAAATAGAAAGCCCAGGGGCAGTACAGCTCCCCCTGGAAGTGGTGCCGAGGATGACGGCCCTGTGTGCCCACCCCTGGAACCGGCCATCGCTGGCAGAGGGAAGGCAGCATCAATCGCTCAGACGGGGTGGGACTAAATGTTGAGTTGAGGGGCCTAAAGGCGAAGACAAGGAGCTTGTGCTGGAGCGGTGCTGGAGGGGGCCTCAGTGGAACTAAGTGGAGGATGTGGCAGGAGAGACGAGTCTGAGGGCTGAGCCTAGCCGCCATGCTTTGGATGGAGCTGAGGGGACAAAGTGGCTGGCATCAAGGCTGGACAGGAGGAGATCACAGCAGTGGAGGTGTGAGACGATGGGGTGAACGAGAGCCTGGGCTGTCGGACAGACACAAGAGGCTGTATCTGTGACGTGTTATACACGCAGGAGCATGGAGACGGGTGAGGTCAGGACATGGGGGCCCAGACAGAGGCTGAGTCAGAGACAATGTCTAGATTGACGGGGCTGATGGAGATGTTTTTGGGGTGGCCAACACTGTATTTCAAAAATACAGGACAGTTTTTTTCTCCCTCCCACAACTCCAACCCCAACCCCTGACCTGGGCCTACATTATGGAGCGGTTCTCCCAGCCAGGGCAGGGGAAATACCCCCTGGCCCCTCCCATAAGGAGACACCTCGGGTAGGACTCAGACTCCAGGCCCCTCACTCTGCTCTGGGCTCCCTGCAGCCAGCTCAGGCCTCACACCCCACCTCAGGACCACAATCCCTGGCCCACTGAAGGGGCAGAGATCCTGGTACCTTGCTCGGGGCAGCCCAGTGTGCGGGATAGGAGGCGGGGAGGGAGGGAGAGCTGTCACAGCCCCCTGCCTTGGGGAGGGCTCGAGGTCTTATCCAAAGAGATGAAGAAACTAGGAAGTGGGGTGGGCTGTGAGGGGGCCGGAAGAGCTTTGAGCTTAAGCTGCCCTCTGGACATCGAGGAGGAGGAGCTGTCAGACAGGCTGAGATGTGGGATGGGAGGCCCGGGAACAGTCTTTAGCAGAGCAAGAGTTTGAGAGTCACTGGCATAGAGGTGGTATCTGATGCCGTGAGTGTCCATAAGAACCACTAGGGACAAGCACTGAGCTTTGGGGGATGTGCTGTGAAAGAGGGAGACAGGAAGAGACCGATCCAACAGAACAGACACCGAGAGCGATTAGCGAGGCAGGAAGAGAACTGGGAGAGGGGGAGCTGTGAAAGGCGAGGATTTAATGGAGATAGGAGTGGTCAGGCCCGCCGACAGCAATTCCGGGCCCCAGGGCAGAACAGTCATTGGGCCCCCACGCACACACAAGCTGCACCCGTGCAGACACGGTCCCCCTGACATTCGGGCAGTGCTGCCATCTGCGGTGTTGGGCGCGCTCTTCCAGCACGGCCAGGGCTTCCACATACCCATCTGGTAGCATTGCCAATTGTCTAATGGCACAAACCGAAAGACCCATTTCCATGCCCCCTGCCCAGCCCCTTCTCTGAGGTCCTGCTCCCGACTCACTCCATCCCCACTCCCTCTGTCACTCACTCTCTCCCACCCTCACTCACTTTCACCAGGCAGGGGCAGAGGGTTGGGGTCCAGGAGGAGGTGTGGGGTGCAGACTCTGGGAGGGAGTTTGGGTGCAGGAGGGGGTGCAGGGTGTGGGCTCTGGAAGGGAGTTTGGGTGCAGGGTGCTGGCTCTGGGCTGGGGCAGGGGGTTGGGGTGCAGGGAGTCAGGGGGTCAGCTTTCCTGGGGCAGCTCCCAAAATTGACTGGCACACCCCTCTGGCAGCGGCTGCTAGGGATGGTGGCTGGGGGCACTGTGGGGGGCCAGCGGCCTTGATGGGGAGCTCAGAGCTTGGGCAAGGGCTCTGGAAGAGGGGCAGGGGGCGGAGGGGTGGTTCACACACTGCCCATGAGGAAGGTTCTTCTCCTCCCTGTCTCTCACATCAGTTCTGGGTGGTCTCTGTGCATGACAACTGGATCAGGCCCCACAGGCGAGCTAGATGCTTCTCCCCACAGTTTATGTGTTGCCGGGGGAACAGGTGGGAGATAGGTACCCAAACATCTAGAGTGAGGCAGCAGTGCACTCTTCGTGCCCAGAGGCAGAAGCTTAGATAGTGTGAGAACTTACACAGAGATTTATGTCCTGAGTGAATTTAGGTGCCTACAGGGGTAGGTGTCAGCCAAGAGGGGGTTGTGGATCATGGAACCTAAAACGGGGATTGAGGCTGGAGTTTAGGTGCCTAAGGCTCTTTGTAGATCAGGACCATAATGCGCTTCTGAGATAAAAGCTGAGGGAGGTTGTGGAATCTCCATCATGAGAGCAGGTTAGACGAACACCCACCAGAGATGGTCTAGATAATACTTAGCCCTGGTCTACACTAGGACTTTAGGTCGAATTTAGCAGCGTTAAATCGATTTAAACCTGCACCCGTCCACACAATGAAGCCCTTTATTTCGACTTAAAGGGCTCTTAAAATCGATTTCCTTACTCCACCCCTGACAAGTGGATTAGCGCTTAAATCGACGTTGCCGGCTTGAATTTGGGGTACTGTGGACACAATTCGATGGTATTGGCCTCCGGGAGCTATCCCAGAGTGCTCCATTCTGACCGCTCTGGACAGCGCTCTCAACTCAGATGCACTGGCCAGGTAGACAGGAAAAGAACCGTGAACTTTTGAATCTCATTTCCTGTTTGGCCAGCGTGGCAAGCTGCAGGTGACCATGCAGAGCTCATCAGCACAGGTGACCATGATGGAGTCCCAGAATCGCAAAAGAGTTCCAGCATGGACCGAACGGGAGGTACGGGATCTGATCGCTGTTTGGGGAGAGGAATCCGTGCTATCAGAACTCCGTTCCAGTTTTCGAAATGCCAAAACCTTTCTGAAAATCTCCCAGGGCATGAAGGACAGAGGCCATAACAGGGACCCGAAGCAGTGCCGCGTGAAACTGAAGGAGCTGAGGCAAGCCTACCAGAAAACCAGAGAGGCGAACAGCCGCTCTGGGTCAGAGCCCCAAACATGCCGCTTCTATGATGAGCTGCATGCCATTTTAGGGGGTTCAGCCACCACTACCCCAGCCGTGTTGTTTGACTCCTTCAATGGAGATAGAGGCAATACGGAAGTAGGTTTTGGGGACGAAGAAGATGATGATGAGGAGGTTGTAGATAGCTCACAGCAAGCAAGCGGAGAAACCGGTTTTCCCGACAGCCAGGAACTGTTTCTCACCCTAGACCTGGAGCCAGTATCCCCCGAACCCACCCAAGGCTGCCTCCTGGACTCAGCAGGCGGAGAAGGGACCTCTGGTGAGTGTACCTTTTAAAATGCTATACATGGTTTAAAAGCAAGCATGTGAAAGGATTACTTTGCCCTGGCATTTGCGGTTCTGCCTTTGCAAAAGGTTTCTGGGGAGGGCAGCCTTATTTCGTCCTTCATGGTAGGACACTTTACCACTCCAGGCCAGTAACACGTACTCGGGAATCACTGTAGAACAAAGCATTGCAGTGTATGTTTGCTGGCATTCAACCAAAATCCGTTCACGCGGTGGGAGGAGGCAAAATGCGACCTTGTAACGAAAGCACATGTGCTATGTATGTAATGTTAACAGCAAGGTTTACCCTGAAAGAGTGTAGCGACTGTTTTATAAAATGTGTCTTTTTTAAATACCGCTGTCCCTTTTTTTTTCTCCACCAGCTGCATGTGTTTCAATGATCACAGGATCTTCTCCTTCCCAGAGGCTAGTGAAGCTTAGAAAGAAAAAAAAACGCACTCGCGATGAAATGTTCTCCGAGCTCATGCTGTTCTCCCACACTGACAGAGCACAGACGAATGCGTGGAGGCAAATAATGTCAGAGTGCAGGAAAGCACAAAATGACCGGGAGGAGAGGTGGAGGGCTGAAGAGAGTAAGTGGTGGGCTGAAGACAGGGCTGAAGCTCAAATGTGGCGGCAGCGTGATGAGAGGAGGCAGGATTCAATGCTGAGGCTGCTGCAGGACCAAACCAGTATGCTCCAGTGTATGGTTGAGCTGCAGCAAAGGCAGCTGGAGCACAGACTGCCACTGCAGCCCCTCTGTAACCAACCGCCTTCCTCCCGAAGTTCCATAGCCTCCACACCCAGACGCCCAAGAACGCGGTGGGGGGGCCTCCGGCCAACCAGCCACTCCACCACAGAGGATTGCCCCCAAAAAAGAAGGCTGTCATTCAATAAATTTTAAAGTTGTAAACTTTTAAAGTGCTGTGCTTAAAGTGCTGTGTGGCATTTTCCTTCCCTCCTCCACCACCCCTCCTGGGATACCTTGGTAGTCATCCCCCTATTTGTGTGATGAATAAATAACGAATGCATGAATGTGAAGCAACAATGACTTTATTGGCTCTGCAAGCAATGATTAAAGGGAGGAGGGGAGGGTGGTTAGCTTACAGGGAAGTAGAGTGAACCAAGGGGCGGGGGGGTTCATCAAGGAGAAATAAACAGAACTTTCACACCGTAGCCTGGCCAGTCATGAAACTGTTTTTCAAAGCTTCTCTGATGCGTACCGCGCCCTCCTGTGCTCTTCTAACCGCCCTGGTGTCTGGCTGCGCGTAACCAGCAGCCAGGCGATTTGCCTCAACCTCCCACCCCGCCATAAACGTCTCCCCCTTACTCTCACAGATATTGTGGAGCACACAGCAAGCAGTAATAACAGGGGGAATATTGGTTTCGCTGAGGTCTAAGCGAGTCAGTAAACTGCGCCAGCGCGCCTTTAAACGTCCAAATGCACATTCTACCACCATTCTGCACTTGCTCAGCCTGTAGTTGAACAGCTCCTGACCACTGTCCAGGCTGCCTGTGTATGGCTTCATGAGCCATGGCATTAAGGGGTAGGCTGGGTCCCCAAGGATACATATAGGCATTTCAACATCCCCAACAGTTATTTTCTGGTCTGGGAATAAAGTCCCTTCCTGCAGCTTTTGAAACAGACCAGAGTTCCTGAAGATGCGAGCATCATGCACCTTTCCCGGCCATCCCACGTTGATGTTGGTGAAACGTCCCTTGTGATCCACCAGAGCTTGCAGCACTATCGAAAAGTACCCCTTGCGGTTTATGTACTTGGCGGCTTGGTGCTCCGGTGCCAAGATAGGGATATGGGTTCCGTCTATAGCCCCACCACAGTTAGGGAATCCCATTGCAGCAAAGCCATCCACTATGACCTGCACATTTCCCAGGGTCACTACCCTTGATATCAGCAGATCTTTGATTGCGTGGGCTACTTGCATCACAGCAGCCCCCACAGTAGATTTGCCCACTCCAAATTGATTCCCAACTGACCGGTAGCTGTCTGGTGTTGCAAGCTTCCACAGGGCTATCGCCACTCGCTTCTCAACTGTGAGGGCTGCTCTCATCTTGGTATTCATGCGCTTCAGGGCAGGGGAAAGCAAGTCACAAAGTTCCATGAAAGTGCCCTTACGCATGCGAAAGTTTCGTAGCCACTGGGAATCGTCCCAGACCTGCAACACTATGCGGTCCCACCAGTCTGTGCTTGTTTCCCGAGCCCAGAATCGGCGTTCCACAGCATGAACCTGCCCCATTAGCACCATGATGCATGCATTGTCAGGGCCCATGCTTTCAGAGAAATCTGTGTCCATGTCCTGATCACTCACGGAACCGCGCTGACGTCGCCTCCTCGCCCGGTATCGCGTTGTCATGTTCTGGTGCTGCATATACTGCTGAATAATGCGTGTGGTGGTTAATGTGCTCCTAATTGCCAAAGTGAGCTGAGCGGGCTCCATGCTTGCCGTGGTATGGCGTCCGCACAGAAAAAAGGCGCGGAACGATTGTCTGCCGTTGCTCTGACGGAGGGAGGGGCGACTGACGACACGGCTTACAGGGTTGGCTTCAGGGAGCTAAAATCAACAAAGGGGGTGCCTGTACATCAAGGAGTATTTCAGGCAGGACTGCACGGAGGGTTCCAATAAGAAATGGTGCACCTAAGTTATCGTTGTTATTGGAACAAGGAGGTTAGCCTGGCCTCTGATTGATACATGGCTAGATTTACCTCGCTGCACCTTCTCTGTGAGTGACTGCAGTGTGACCTAGAGGAATGAGTCCCCTAGACAGGGGAGGAGGCAAATGAGTACAAAACAAATCTGGTCTATTTCTTGTTTTGACCCACTCCATCTATCTTTTACATCTTTGGCTGGCAGCAGATGGTTCAGAAGGACTGCATGCCATCCACATCTCATGGCTGCTCGGCAGAAGATGGTACAGTACGACTGCTAGCCATCCCCATCTCTTGCCTGCCTGGCAGAAGATGGTACAGTATGACTGCTAGCAGTCCGTATCGCCTGCCCGCTCACCATAAGACGGTTCAATAGGACTGACTGCAGGACTAAAGAGAATGACCTGGTCAAGTCACTCCAAATTTAGTCCCTGCGACCATGTCTGCCCAGGCGCTCCCAGCCGACGCGGCCAGGAGCACCTCGGACACGACGAGGACGACTACCAATCGTATTGCACCGTCTGCTGCCAGAAGGCAATGGGTTGCTGCTACTGTGCAGCAAAGCCGTACCGCGTCTGCCAGCACCCAGGAGACATAGGGTGACGGTTACCTGAGTGGGCTCCATGCTTGCTGTGGTATGGCGTCTGCACAGGTAACTCAGGAAAAAAGGCGCGAAATGATTGTCTGCCCTTGCTTTCACGGAGGGAGGGAGGGAACGGCGGCCTGACGACACGTACCCAGAACCACCCGCGACAATGTTTTAGCCCCATCAGAGTGCTCCATTGTGACTGCTCTGGACAGCACTCTCAGATGCCCGATTGTTTGCCATTGCTCTGACGCTGGGAGGGGCGCTTACAGGGTTGGCTTCAGGGAACTAAAATCAACAAAGGGGGTGGCTTTACATCAAGGAGTATTTCAGGCAGGACTTCACGGAGGGTTCCAATAAGAAATGGTGCACCTAAGTTATTGTCCTTATTGGAGCAAGAAGGTTAGCCTGGCCTCTGATTGATACATGGCTAGATTTACCTCGCTGCACCTTCTCTGTAAGTGACTGCAGTGTGATCTAGAAGAATGAGTCCCCTAGACAGGGGAGGGGGAAGCAAATGAGTACAAAACAAATCTGGTCTATTTCTTGTTTTGATCCACTCCATCTATCTTTTACATCTTTGGCTGGCAGCAGACGGTGCAGAAGGACTGCATGCCATCCACATCTCATGGCTGCTCGGCAGAAGATGGTACAGTACGACTGCTAGCAGTCCGTATCGCCTGCCCGCTCACCATAAGACGGTTCAATAGGACTGACTGCAGGACTAAAGAGAATGACCTGGTCAAGTCACTCCAAATTTAGTCCCTGCGACCATGTCTGCCCAGGCGCTCCCAGCCGACGCGGCCAGGAGCACCTCGGACACGACGAGGACGACTACCAATCGTATTGCACCGTCTGCTGCCAGAAGGCAATGGGTTGCTGCTACTGTGCAGCAAAGCCGTACCGCGTCTGCCAGCACCCAGGAGACATAGGGTGACGGTTACCTGAGTGGGCTCCATGCTTGCTGTGGTATGGCGTCTGCACAGGTAACTCAGGAAAAAAGGCGCGAAATGATTGTCTGCCCTTGCTTTCACGGAGGGAGGGAGGGAACGGGGGCCTGACGACACGTACCCAGAACCACCCGCGACAATGTTTTAGCCCCATCAGAGTGCTCCATTGTGACTGCTCTGGACAGCACTCTCAGATGCCCGATTGTTTGCCATTGCTCTGACGCTGGGAGGGGCGCTTACAGGGTTGGCTTCAGGGAACTAAAATCAACAAAGGGGGTGGCTTTACATCAAGGAGTATTTCAGGCAGGACTTCACGGAGGGTTCCAATAAGAAATGGTGCACCTAAGTTATTGTCCTTATTGGAGCAAGAAGGTTAGCCTGGCCTCTGATTGATACATGGCTAGATTTACCTCGCTGCACCTTCTCTGTAAGTGACTGCAGTGTGATCTAGAAGAATGAGTCCCCTAGACAGGGGAGGGGGGAAGCAAATGAGTACAAAACAAATCTGGTCTATTTCTTGTTTTGATCCACTCCATCTATCTTTTACATCTTTGGCTGGCAGCAGACGGTGCAGAAGGACTGCATGCCATCCACATCTCATGGCTGCTCGGCAGAAGATGGTACAGTACGACTGCAAGCAGTCCGTATCGCCTGCCCGCTCACCATAAGACGGTTCAATAGGACTGACTGCAGGACTAAAGAGAATGACCTGGTCAAGTCACTCCAAATTTAGTCCCTGTGCCCATGTCTGCCCAGGCGCTCCTGATCGACCTCACAGAGGCGACCAGGAGCACCTCAGACATGATGATGACGGCTACCAGTCGTACTGTACCGTCTGCTGCCACAAGGCAAGGGGTTGCTGCTACTGTGTAGCAATGCCGTACCGTGTCTGCCAGCACCCAGGAGACATAGGGTGACGGTTACCTGAGCGGGCTCCATGCTTGCCATGGTATGGCGTCTGCACAGGTAACTCAGGAAAAAGGCGCGAAATGATTGTCTGCCCTTGCTTTCACGGGGGGAGGGAGGGAACGGGGGGCTGACGATATGTACCCAGAACCACCCGCGACAATGTTTTAGCCCCATCAGGCATTGGGATCTTAACCCAGAATTCCAATGGGCAGCGGAGACTGCGGGAACTGTGGGATAGCTACCCACAGTGCAACGCTCCGGAAGTCGACGCTTGCCTCGGTACTGTGGAAGCGCTCCGCCGAGTTAATGCACTTAATGCACTTACAGCATTTTCTGTGGGGACACACACACTCGAATTTATAAAACCGATTTCTAAAAAACCGACTTCTATAAATTCGACCTTATTCCGTAGTGTAGACATACCCTTAGTCCTGCCATGAGTGCAGGAGACTGGCCTAGCTGACCTCTCGAGGTCCCTTCCAGTCCTCCAATTCTATGATTAGTGTGGGGTTAAGGTGGAGAGGATGTACTTGTAATTTAAGGGTAAAGCACATTACAGGGATCTTGTAATTATCCCCAAACCAAGTGTTATAAACTCAGGAAATACAGAACTAAGGTTAAGTTAAAAATAACCCAAACATGCCATGGTGTAGAAATGCAACTAAGGCAGCTAAGCAACCTTAACTCTGCTCTGCAGTAACTTTATGAGGGGAAAATTGAAAAAAAACAACCCCCCCCCCAAAAAAAAACCCAGCGTGCCTTTAAAAATCAGTTTCATTTAACACAGAACCACACACACACTGCTCTGCATTGAGCAGACCTGTATGGTTATTGTGTGGAGTCGCTGCAGGCTGGAGCTGAGGTTGTGGGTGTGCGTGGTCCCTGAGGATGAAATCCTGCCCCCTCCCACATTACATGGGCATGCAAGGGCCAGAACACCTGGGGTTCCCAGGTGAGGGATCCTGTTAAATACTGGACAAGTCTCTGTGGGTTTGCCCCCCCACCCCCCCAAAAAAAAGCTCTGTGGCAGCTGGTCTCAGAGCCAGGCTTGTGGGGCTCACACAGTACAGACATTCCCACTCAGGCTGGAACCTGAGCTCTGAGACCCAGTGAGGAGGGAAGGGGGATGTCTCAGAGCAGGAATGGCACTGCTAGATTTAGCCCTGCAGCACGAGCTCCAGGCAGGTGACCCAGACTCTGAGACTTGTGGGCATGGGTGGTTTTTTGACACGTACACACAGTCTCCAACAATGAGACTGACCGAGCTGTGTTGTATATTCAGGCCCCTGGGCTCAAGGTGCCATTTCTGTAATTCCCATGGGGTTTATTAGATCATATGATCCTTTCCCCTTCAGAGCCCCTTTGTGCCCTCTTTGTGCCAGGCCTGAGCTCACTGCTTGGGCTCTGATGTAGAGATGGAGATGTTCCCCATCACTCCTTCAAACAGGCTGTAACTCCACCTGCTAAAATTGAGCTAAAGGTGTTAAACTGTGACTCCACCGGCAGTAAATGGGACTTTCAATTGAATTAAATTGGTTCGACTGAGCTAACTCGACTGACATGACATGAAATCTTCAACCCATCGGATCCCATTGATCCCAGACACTGACCTTTCTGCCTCTCCATCGCAGATCGCAGAGCCTCTAGAGGGAGAAAAGAGGGAGAGGTGAGACTTCCCTCTGTCGTGTTTATGGGGATAGAGTTAATATTGTAACTGGCCCAGACACTGACCTTTCTCTCCCTCCCATTCAAACAGCAGGGTCTCTGGAGAGAGAACAGGGCGAGAGGTGATTCATCAATTCACAGATTCCCAGGCCAGAAGGGACCATTGTGATCACCTAGTCTGACCCCTGCATAACACAAGCCAGTGGGTTTCCCCACAATAATTCCTACAGCAGATCGTTTAGAAAAACATCCCGTCTGGATTAAAAACTGCCAGTGCTAGAGAATCCACCATGACCCTTGCCATGGGCGGTGGGTATAATAGACTAGGAGAGGCTCAGCCTCCCCTGCCACTGCCACGGCCACCAGACCTCTGTTTGTGGGGTTTTGGGGGGACATTTTTGATTTATTATGCCCCATGTAGGTTCAGGGCTGCTGAGGAGGCGGTATGTGCTATTCAGCTTCCTGGGTTCATCAGTAATTTCCCTGGACTGGAGAATACTGATGGACCCAGGAAGCTGAGTAACACATACCGCCTCCTCAGCCACCCCGGAACCAGCATGGGGCATAGCAAAAGCGTCTTCCAGACCTGGGAGATGTTTTTCCCCAGGCAGCTTGGGGTCTGGGAAGGGCACAGCATAGCTGCAGCTGACCAGGGGCAGTTCCGGGCAGGTGGGAGGGGAGGGCTCGGGGCTTCAGCCAGCCTGGGGCTCCTCCAGCCGAGGGAGGGGGCGCTTGGGGCTCCTCCAGGTGTGGGGGAGGGACAGGGGGTTTCGGGGCTCTGGCTGCAGGGGGAGGGGGGCATGGGTGAAAGAGGCGGAGCTGGGGCGAGCTTACCCAAAGGGGGGCTCCATCCACCGCCCATGACCCTCAGTAAATTGTTCCAATGATTAATTAATAATTAATAATGGCTGCCAAGATTTCACCCTGTTGTGTTTATGGGGATAACTCTACAGCTAATGTGATGGGCCCAGACACTGACCTTTCTCGCTCTCCTTATCCGATTGCAGCGTCTCTAGAGGGAGAAAAGGGCGAGAGGTGAGATTTCACCATCATGTTTAAGGCTCAGTTCCTGCTATTAACATAATTGTGCTGTAACTATGAAAGTGAGGCAGACAGACTGACAAACAGGACACACAGACAGATCTATCTCAACATCCCTGCAGCCAGCATCCCTGCTGCCTGGGCCCTGTCACACACCTGTCTAATCTCGCTATTGAGGGGGATGGTGGGGAGGAGAAGGTCTCTTTTTTTGTCCAGTTCCTTGCCTGCTCCCCTCTGGCCCATCCCCTGAACAGCCCCAGCTCTCCTACCCTCCCTCCCCCTGCTCCAGCTCCTGACTGTGGGGATGGAGGATGGAAGTGAGCGATGGGAATGGGGCACTGACCCAGACTGGGAAAGGGGACAGGGTCTGATTGGCTTCATTCTAGGCCAACTCCTGACCCTGTGGCAGGTGCCTGTCCCCTGGTCTTAGTGATACATGGGAACAACTCCCCCTAGGGCCTGGGTAGATGAGGGTGCCCCAGGTAAGAACAGGGTGGAGAGATCTTTCTTTATCTGGGTGCTCAGGTCAGCAGAAGCCAGGGAAGGGGGCCCCTACAGGCATCGCCTCTAAGATCAGCTGTTTCCCACTGGGAGCTCGTCCCCTTGGTGCATCAGCCCTGGGGTACCAAAACTGCAGGACATGGAGGCAGCGTCATGTCTGCCAGTCACTGCTGAGTGCAGCCTGAGCGAGACTATCTTGTGCCCAGTGTGAGCAGCATCTTAGACCAGCCGTGCAAGTCCTGAGTGTGTTTGTGTTACTACAGCATCCTAGCCACAGCTCACCAGGGCAGCTGGTGCGGAGAATTCTCTGAAAGGCCCAGGGAACAAGACAGTGACAGTTAATTGTTCTGATTGTTTAATGCTTCAAAATGAGCCCAACAGAGTTCTCTCTCTCTCTGGGCATATACATGACTTTTACATACAACTCAAAATGAGTGTATCCCTGTCACCTAAACGTGTACTCAACCCACATAATGTATCTGTTAACTAAAGCCACTAACTAAACCAGTTCACACCTGGTGCTGACCGAGTGTGAAGGTGAGAGTTCTAAAGGTGCAGCATCCAGGTCCAGCTTTCACAAGTACAAAGCTCCTCTCTGCTTCTCTCAATTACCCGCTTCCGTCCCCATTGGGAAATCATTGGAACAGACATTTCCCCTTCCCAATTCTTCCAACACTGGTACATTTCTACATAATTTTCACAGCCCTTCAGGTGAGAAAACCCTCTGGGTGGGACTTTCACAGCTGCCTTGGGAGTTTGCACACTCAGTAGTCATTAATTTAAACAAAAATTGGGCATTCAGACCCCTTAGGCAGCTGTGAAAATTCCAGCATCTCTATAAGTACTTAGATCACTGAAGGGCAGTTCTGCGCTTTGCAACTGGAGAAAAAACTACAGCTGAGCACTTATACTGCAATGGAGAGTTCATTGCCCTATTTCTGTAGTGTAGCAGGATCTCAGGCAGAGCAAATCTGAGTGTAGATAAGTGCTAACCTTTCCATTTGCACAGCCACTGCTTTGCCCATCCACAGCTCCTACTCACAAGCATAGACTGGGGGGCAGAATTGGGCCCAAACAAACCTCTCTCTTCTAGTTTGCGTTCTGTTTTTCTTGCAAGCAGCCAAGTTCTGTATGTTGGTGCTCTCAGCCCAGCTCACTGAGCCCCATACGGGTGTTTCAAACTGAGCCGTGCAGATCCCCAGGGAACAGTTCAGACTCACACATGCGATTGGGATCCTCGTGTGAGATCTGAAGGGCTGAAACCACTTGACAATTCTTGGTTCAAACATGATCATAATTTCTTCAGCTCCCTCTTCACCCTCAGCCCAACTCCCACTGCCTGAAACTCCTCCAAACACTGAATCAAAGCCCCTTAATCCCTGTCTCTTTACTTTTGGTTTGTTTTTTAAATCTTAGTCTGTCTCTCACCAGGTTCCCCCCACCCCTCTCATTACATCACCTTTTGCTCTGCGTTGCCTCCAGAAGCAGTAACTGGCCAGGGCAGTGAGACCAGTCAGGAGAGCCAGGATCACCCCCAGAACCACCGTCCAGGGATTGACTCGTGGGAAAAACAGCTCTGCAAGAGAAAGTGCCATTGACTTGGGAGCAAACACGCGCAGAATGACGGCAGGACACTGAGACAGTGGTGACACTGTGACTACTTACAAGACTCTCACAGGGAAATACACAGGGAGACGTGGCTGCTTTGTGCTTTATTATTAAACCAATGGAAGCCGAAGCTTTAGCCTGGTTACTTAACTTGGTTAATTAATGGGAGGGGGCATGTTGGGGATAGGGAAGGGTTAGGGTGCAGCTCCATTATGCTACACCTATCCCACACTGGCATAAGCTCAAGAAGTCCCTAGGTTGCTCTCAGTGATCCTAAGGCTACAGATTGGGGTTCAGCTTCACGGGAGAGTCTGGTCCAAAATATGTTAATGCAGGATTTTAATAAAAACAAAACTTGAGCCGATAGATTCAGAGTAAAAATTCCTCCAGAGTCCTCTTCCCTGGGCCTCGGAGCAATGGCTGACTAGAGGGCCCTTTGCTAAGTGATTAGTGGTGTGTATTGAAAACTGTGTAAAAATTACAAGCTGACTCTTGAAATCCTGAGGGGATTCCTGGTCCTGCTTGCAGGCTAAAGGGCTCTTTTGGGAGCGTGCATCTGGATCCTCTGCAGTCAGTCTGCAAAGAGCCAGCCTAGAGCAGAGTGGGTTTGGTTCTGCTGCACTGCCTTAGGGAGCAGCCTGCTTTGTCTCTCTCTGTATTTGGCTGTGGCATGTTAGAGTTCTGGATTCTTAGAAATAAGCAGTGCTACATTGCAGCCTTTCAGGAAGAGTGTTTATGTGTTGTTTCAACTCTCTCTGTGCATGCTGTGAACATAACAATTAGGTAATACTGGACATATCATAGACTAACCAGCAGTGCAGCACTATGAGACCTCAGATGAATAGTGCTTTACAAATACAACTTTCTTACTATTACAGTGATGAAATATTCATTCAGTATTAACCAAGTTATTTGGTAGATAATAATACATAAAATCGCAACCTTTTATTCTAAAAATTAAGATGCTCCTAGGTAAGAATTTGTTTCAGCCAATTTTGGGCCTCAACTTTTATTGCTGGTATTTTCAGATGTATTCTAAGTAGCAACGCTCAGACCATATCCAGGGCTCTCTTCTGCTGTTCAGGAAAAATGACTTCATTAGCCAGATTTTCATAAATACTCAGCACCCAGCAGCTCTCACTGAGAACAGAGGAGAATTCCCTCCCCCACCCCCACTGAGAACTGTGATGGTCACAGCACCCACAGACGTTAGACACAAACATAAATACTCCTGCTGGAAGGTTGCAGCGTAACACAACTTTATGTCTTAGCCCTGGTCTACACTAGGACTTTAGGTCAAATTTAGCAGCGTTAAATCGATGTAAACCTGCACCCGTCCACACGATGAAGCCCTTTATTTCGACTTAAAGGGCTCTCAAAATCGATTTCCGTACTCCACCCCTGACAAGTGGATTAGTGCTTAAATCGGCCTTGCCGGGTCGAATTTGGGGTACTGTGGACACAATTCGACGGTATTGGCCTCCGGGAGCTATCCCAGAGTGCTCCATTGTGACTGCTCTGGACAGCACTCTCAACTCAGATGCACTGGCCAGGTAGACAGGAAAAGAACCGTGAACTTTTGAATCTCATTTCCTGTTTGGCCAGCGTGGCAAGCTGTAGGTGACCATGCAGAACTCATCAGCAGAGGTGACCATGATGGAGTCCCAGAATCGCAAAAGACCTCCAGCATGGACTGAATGGGAGGTACGGGATCTGATCGCTGTATGGGGAGAGGAATCCGTGCTATCAGAACTCTGTTCCAGTTTTCGAAATGCCAAAACCTTTGTGAAAATCTCCGAGGGCATGAAGGACAGAGGCCATAACAGGGATCCGAAGCAGTGCCGCATGAAACTTAAGGAGCTGAGGCAAGCCTACCAGAAAACCAGAGGGGAGAACGGCCGCTCCGGGTCAGAGCCCCAAACATGCTGCTTCTATGATGAGCTGCATGCCATTTTAGGGGGTTCAGCCACCACTACCCCAGCCGTGTTGTTTGACTCCTTCAATGGAGATGGCGGCAACACGGAAGCAGGTTTTGGGGACGAAGAAGAAGATGATGATGATGATGAGGTTGTAGATAGCTCACAGCAAGCAAGTGGAGAAACCAGTTTTCCCGACAGCCAGGAACTGTTTCTCACCCTGGACCTGGAGCAGGTACCCCCCGAACCCACCCAAGGCTGCCTCCTGGACCCGGCAGGTGGAGAAGGGACCTCCGGTGAGTGTACCTTTTAAAATACTATACATGGCTTAAAAGCAAGCATGTGAAAGGATTACTTTGCCCTGGCATTCGCGGCTCTCCTGGATGTACTCCCAAAGCCTTTGCAAAAGGTTTCTGGGGAGGGCAGCCTTATTGCGTCCTTCATGGTATGACACTTTACCACTCCAGGCCAGTAACACGTACTCAGGAATCATTGTACAACAAAGCATTGCAGTGTATGTTTGCTGGCGTTCAAACAAAATCCGTTCTTTATCTCTCTGTGTTATCCTCAGGAGAGTGAGATATCATTCATGGTCACCTGGTTGAAATAGGGTGCTTTTCTTCAGGGGACACTCAGAGGAGCCCGTTCCTGCTGGGCTGTTTGCCTGCGGCTGAACAGAAATGTTCCCCGCTGTTAGCCACGGGGAGGGGGGAAGGTTGAGGGGGTAGCCATGCGGTGGCGGGGGGGGGGGCAAACTGCGACCTTGGAACGAAAGCATATGTGCTATGCATGTAATGTTAACAGCAAGGTTTACCCTGAAAGACTGTAGCCACTGTTTTATAAAATGTGTCTTTTTAAATACCGCTGTCCCTTTTTTTTTCTCCACCAGCTGCATGTGTTTCAATGATCACAGGATCTTCTCCTTCCCAGAGGCTAGTGAAGATTAGAAAGAAAAAAAAACGCACTCGTGATGAAATGTTCTCTGAGCTCATGCTGTCCTCCCACACTGACAGAGCACAGACGAATGCGTGGAGGCAAATAACGTCAGAGTGCAGGAAAGCACTCCGGGACGAGTAGTGGTGGGCTGAAGACAGGGCTGAAGCTCAAATGTGGCGGCAGCATGATGAGAGGAGGCACGATTCAATGCTGAGGCTGCTGGAGGATCAAACCCAGTATGCTCCAGTGTATGGTTGAGCTGCAGCAAAGGCAGCTGGAGCACAGACTGCCACTGCAGCCCCTGTGTAACCAACCGCCCTCCTCCCCAAGTTCCATAGCCTCCACACCCAGACGCCCAAGAACGCGGTGGGGGGGGGCCACCGGCCAACCAGCCACTCCACCACAGAGGATTGCCCCCCAAAAAAGAAGGCTGCCATTCAATAAATTTTAAAGTTGTAAACTTTTAAAGTGCTGTGCTTAAAGTGCTGTGTGGCATTTTCCTTCCCTCCTCCACCACCCCTCCTGGGCTACCTTGGTAGTCATCCCCCTATTTGTGTGATGAATGAATAACGAATGCATGAATGTGAAGCAACAATGACTTTATTGCCTCTGCAAGCGGTGATCGAAGAGAGGAGGGGAGGGTGGTTAGCTTACAGGGAAGTAGAGTGAACCAAGGGGCGGGGGGTTTCATCAAGGAGAAACAAACAGAACTTTCACACCGTAGCCTGGCCAGTCATGAAACTGTTTTTCAAAGCTTCTCTGATGCGTACCGCACCCTCCTGTGCTCTTCTAACCGCCCTGGTGTCTGGCTGCGCGTAACCAGCAGCCAGGCGATTTGCCTCAACCTCCCACCCCGCCATAAATGTCTCCCCCTTACTCTCACAGATATTGTGGAGCACACAGCAAGCAGTAATAACAGTGGGAATATTGGTTTCGCTGAGGTCTAAGCGAGTCAGTAAACTGCGCCAGCGCGCCTTTAAACGTCCAAATGCACATTCTACCACCATTCTGCACTTGCTCAGCCTGTAGTTGAACAGCTCCTGACTACTGTCCAGGCTGCCTGTGTACGGCTTCATGAGCCATGGCATTAAGGGATAGGCTGGGTCCCCAAGGATAACTATAGACAGTTATTTTCTGGTCTGTGAATAAAGTCCCCTCCTGCAGCTTTTGAAACAGACCAGAGTTCCTGAAGATGCGAGCGTCATGTACCTTTCCCGGCCATCCCACATTGATGTTGGTGAAACGTCCCTTGTGATCCACCAGAGCTTGCAGCACTATTGAAAAGTACCCTTTGCAGTTTATGTACTTGGCGGCTTGGTGCTCCGGTGCCAAGATAGGGATATGGGTTCCGTCTATGGCCCCACCACAGTTAGGAAATCCCATTGCAGCAAAGCCATCCACTATGACCTGCACATTTCCCAGGATCACTACCCTTGATATCAGCAGATCTTTGATTGCGTGGCTACTTGCATCACAGCAGCCCCCACAGTAGATTTGCCCACTCCAAATTGATTCCCAACTGACCGGTAGCTGTCTGGCGCTGCAAGCTTCCACAGGGCTATCGCCACTCGCTTCTCAACTGTGAGGGCTGCTCTCATCTTGGTATTCATGCGCTTCAGGGCAGGGGAAAGCAAGTCACAAAGTTCTATGAAAGTGCCCTTACGCATGCGAAAGTTTCGCAGTCACTGGGAATCGTCCCAGACCTGCAACACTATGCAGTCCCACCAGCCTGTGCTTGTTTCCTGAGCCCAGAATTGGCGTTCCACAGCATGAACCTGTCCCATTAGCACCATGATGCATGCATTGTCAGGGCCCATGCTTTCAGAGAAATCTGAAATCTGAGTGATATCCTGATCACTCACGTGACTGCACTGACGTCGCCTACTCTCCCGGTATCGCTTTGCCAGGTTCTGGTGCTGCATATACTGCTGGATAATGCGTGTGGTGTTTAATGTGCTCCTAATTGCCAAAGTGAGCTGAGTGGCCTCCATGCTTGCCTTGGTATGGCGTCCGCACAGAAAAAAGGCGCGGAACGATTGTCTGCCGTTGCTCTGACGGAGGGAGGAGCGACTGACGACACGGCTTACAGGGTTGGCTTCAGGGAGCTAAAATCAACAAAGGGAGTGGCTTTACATCAAGGAGTATTTCAGGCAGGACTTCACGGAGGGTTCCAATAAGAAATGGTGCACCTAAGTTATTGTTCTTATTGGAACAAGGAGGTTAGTCTGGCCTCTGATTGATACATGGCTAGATTTACCTTGCTGCACCTTCCCTGTGAGTGACTGCAGTGTGACCTAGAGGAATGAGTCCCCTAGACGGGGGAGGGGGGGAAGCAAATGAGTACAAAACAAATCTGGTCTATTTCTTGTTTTGATCCACTCCATCTATCTTTTACATCTTTGGCTGGCAGCAGACGGTGCAGAAGGACTGCATGCCATCCACATCTCATGGCTGCTTGGCAGAAGATGATGCAATAGGACTGCTAGCAATCTGTATCGCCTGCCTGCTCACATAAAATGGTTCAATAGGACTGACTGCAGGACTAAAGAGAATGACTTGATCAAGTCACTCCAAATTTAGTCCCTGCGCCCATGTCTGGCCAGGCGCTCCCGGCCGACACGGCCAGGAGCACCTTGGACATGACGACGACGGCTACCAGTCCGATTGCACCATCTGCTGCCACAAGGCAATGGGTTGCTGCTACTGTGTAGCAATGCAGTACCACGTCTGCCAGCACCCAGGAGACATACGGTGACGGTTACCTGAGCGGGCTCCATGCTTGCCATGGTATGGTGTCTGCACAGGTAACTCAGGAAAAAAGTAGCGAAACGATTGTCTGCCCTTGCTTTCATGGAGGGAGGGAGGGAACGGGGGCCTGATGATATGTACCCAGAACCACCTGCGGCAATGTTTTAGCCCCATCAGGCATTGGGATCTCAACCCAGAATTCCAATGGGCAGCGGAGACTGCGGGAACTGTGGGATAACTACCCACAGTGCAACGCTCCGGAAGTCGACTCTAGCCTCGGTACTGTGGAAGCGCTCCGCCGAGTTAATGCACTTAATGCACTTAGAGCATTTTCTGTGGGGACACACACACTCGAATATATAAAACCGATTTCTAAAAAACCGACTTCTATAAATTCGACCTAATTTCGTAGTGTAGACATACCCTTAGAGTCCAGAACCTTAACACACAAGAAACCTTAAAACAGGAGAGGGGGGCTGTTGTACCCTTGGGGTAACAGTTTTAGGAAGAAACCACTGGAGACACAGAGAGCTGTAACCCTTAAGAGCAGCCATTTATTGCCACACACTGAACTAACCAAAAACCAGCCAAAACTGGCTGGGTTATCCCCTAATAATTTAACTCAGTTGCCATAGCAACAACAAGGTTCTATTACCACGACAACCAAATACACAACAGGGGCTGCTCCCTAAGGCAGTGGGCACAACTCACCCCACTTTGCTTTATGTCAGCTCGTTTATAAGCACAGAGAGTGCACGGCAGGCTGGCGTGTAAATCCACCTCGCACTAGCCTGTTGTGCCCTAACTGGCTGTGTGAACCCTGCTGCACTGCACTAAAAGTTCCCTGGTGCACTTTGATCTGTTCCTGTTTCCATGTGGGGCAGATCAAAGCGCACTATGGAATCGTTAGTGCATGTAGCAGGGTCCACATGGACAGTTAGTGCGCAGATTTACACCCCAGTTTGCCACAAACTAGCTGTTCCTGTCGACAAGCCCTGATTCTGCTCACACGCTTTGCTACAGAGCCCTCTAGCCTGCAAACAGGACCAGGAAACCCCCAACTCTTAAAGTGACAGCTTGCAATTCCAATACAGTTCTCACTACAGCACAATAACAAAGGAGAATTCCCTCCCCGTCCTACACTGAGAAGAAGGATGATTGCTGGGTACTGAGCTGTTATGAAAATCTGGCCAATGGTGCCCCAGCCTTCAAGGTGCTAAACACGCTTAGCTCCTTCTGGAGTCAAAGGGTATGTCTACACTGCAATTAGCACCCACGCTGGCCCATGCCAATTGACAAAGGCTCAGGGGGCTCGGGCAAAGGGGCTGTTTAATTACAGTGTAGACCTTCAGGCTCAGACTGAAGCCTGAGCTCTGGGAACCTCCAACCTCACAGAGTCCTAGAGCCTGGTCTCCAGCCGAAGCCTGAACATCTACACTGCCATTTAACAGCCCCTTAGCCCTAGCCCATTAGCCTGAGCCAGCTGGCACAGGCCACCAGCAGGTGTCTAATTTCAGTGTAGACATCTCCAAAGAGAACTGAGGCTGTTCAGGACTTTCCATGATGTGCTCAGCACCTTGAAGGTTCAGGCTAATAAATAGGAGACACAATAATAAATACTTTCCGCTCATGTCTGCAGCATCTCGGTCTATCCATGTGCGGCATGGACGGGCACTGACCTGCTACGGAAATCGCTGACTCTCTCTCCTCGTTGAGTCGGGGGTTCCTGACACAGCAGGATGCTTTCTGGTTGGACTCTTCTGTTAGAACAATGGCAATCTCTGTTTGAAACAGGCCATTGGCCTCTGGGGATATTTCTTCAGAGGCTGATGGTAAGAGCTGCCCCTGGAGATCTCTCCACAGCACCTTGGGCTGTGGGTACCATCCGGATGATCGACATATAATCCGGATCCCTCCATCCTGATGTCCCTCCACAGAGATGACAGGAGCAGAGCCCAAATCTACAGAAGAAATAAATGAACTTGTGATAATCCTACAGTGCCCAGTAATGAGCCAAAAGTTTTATTACATGGTTGTCAAAAGCCATTTCCTATTAAACTAATAATCGAGTGTGAGTCCAAGAGTGTGGCTGGTCAGTTAATCTGGCCAGATTCATATTTGATACACCATAAAATTAATATTAATATCAGGGATTTTCTATGCACAAATTTGCTCCATTTTAGTTAAACTGGTTTAGTTAATCAAGTGTAAATTCCTCTGTGGACACTCTTATATCAAGAAGGAATTAACTCAAGCTAAATTGATATAAGCCATTTCCAAACCCATTTAAGTGTCCCTAGAGAGGTTTGCATTAGTTCATCGAAAGCAGTGCACACATATGTGTAAGCAGAGTCAGAATGAGCTCTCCCCTGACATCTGGTGGTGAGCTGTAGAAAAGGACTTCAGGGACTGATCTCATTTGCATGGGCACACCCACCCTGCCTAGCATGATGCTTGCCCAAATGTTCCCTTTGGCTGCTGTGGGATCCCCAGTCTCTTTGTTATTGGGGCAGGAGTAATAAAGGGTTGTTATCCTGGTTGAGTGAATCAAGGACAGCAGAACTGTGCTTGGCATTATCTGACTGAGAGGCTCACCCTCAACTAAAACAGGATTTGCTTGGCAAGGGACATGGGTTCCAAAGCCCAGTGAGTTAAGAGAGGTTGGGGACAGATATTTGTATTGGGTAGTTTAGTCCCAAATGTGATTTTGTTCTGTTCTATCTTCACTGTGTTACAGAGCTAATTTAGACTTAATTAAGAGTCTAGTTATATGCTATAGAGCTGAAATCACTGATATCTAGGTCTAAGCGTAAGACCTACTTTGGGCTAGGGGTTCTGATGTAAGAAGACTATCCAGTGTGCACCAGCAGTGAGGTTCCCCTACTAACACCTGCAATCACTGAGAGCTGGGGTGTGTGTGAAGATATCTTGTTGAATGGCTAGTGGAGAGGTGTGGCCAACAGAGTGGTTGGTAGAGAGGTGTGGCAATTGGCCATTGGGGGGGGCAGTGAGGGCCTGAGCAGTGGAGCGTGTAAGGTGCCTCCATACCTTCCCCCCCTTCCACCCAGGCTGGGAGGTAAACTCTGCAGATGAACTTCTGAACTGTGGGGCTGCACTGACCAAGGACAGCAACTGTGAGTGGGGTGACTTTTGGGTTGCTGGACTTAAGAACTCAAATGGAAAGGACATGGCCCAACCTACCTGACGGTGGGTCTTCTGGCTCATGGTTTATGTTTATGAACCTTGTTTGTGGTGTTTCCCCAACATAATGCCGCATTGTTTCCCTCCTTCATTAAAAGATTTTTGCTACACTCAGACTCTGTGCTTGCGAGAGGGGAAGTATTGCCTCTTAGAGGCACTCACGGGGGTGCTGTGTAATTGTCCCAGGTCACTGGGTGGGGGCTCAAGCTGGTTTTGCATTGTGTTATTAAAAGGAACCCCTAGATACTGAACCCGGCCCTTGTTGCTGCCAACTCTGACGGGCAGGGGTTACATACATGTAGACAAGCCTTATATTAATTCACAAATAAAAAACCTTGCAATAGGGGAGTTTGGGTTGTGTTGGCAGTGCCTTGTACCCTTCCAGAATGCAGAAATGGGTAGCAGAAAACTGGTACCTCTGAAAGCCAGGAAATACAGTCAGCAAAAGAGAAACACAAACACTAGATAGAATCATAGAAGATTAGGGTTGGAAGAGACCTCAGGAGGTCATCTAGTCCAACCTCCTGCTCAAAGCAGGACCAACACCAACTAAATCATCCCAGCCAGGGCTTTGTCAAGCCGGGCCTTAAAAACCTCTAAGGATGGAGATTCCACCACCTCCCTAGGTAACCCATTCCAGTGCTTAACCGCCCCCTCCAGTGAAATAGTGTTTCTTAATATCCAACCTAGACCTCTCCCACTGCAACTTGAGACCATTGCTTCTTGTTCTGTCATCTGCCACCACTGAGAACAACCTAGCTCCATCTTCTTTAGCACCAAGGGCATCATTTGGGGGGGGGGCAAAGGGTGGTGGGTGGTGGGAGGGGGTGCTGCACAACTAACGAATGAGCACCTGGGATCCTTCCCCTGCTATGAAAAAACAAACATGAGCTGCCACCACCACAAACATTACTTAAATTACACTTAAAACTTTCCACTTTTTTCCAACTCTCTAATTTTGTAGTGAAATGGCCACACTGGGCACTGCCATTATTCTATCATTTGGTCCCCCTTGTCTGTGGGAGTCTTTCCTTTGCCAGCAATGGGCTTTGGGTCAGGTCCATCGACTGTGACACAAAAACACCAATTCCCCTGGGAATGTCTGGATTTTACCAAATCTCCCCAAAGTGGGGCTGCACTTTTCTAGTCTAGGACTTTTTCCCCAGATATCTTTTGAGGAGCTGCTACCCTCAAGTAGCCATTTTGCAGCTTTCTGCTGTATCTTCTCTTCCAGCTGGTAAATATTCATATCTCCTGTTGTACTTACTGTTTAACATTTGTGAGGGTGGCAGAGTGTCACAAACTTGAGTACAATCGGTGAATTTCATGGAGGTGACGTTTACTCTCTCAAATCCTTACAGCAACACACCAGAAACCTTCTAACTTAACCCTCTGTATTTATTGTAACTATTTGTATAAACTCTTCAGTGAACATAAACCTAAGCCAATCTGAACAATTTCTATGATTTGGCTGCCAAAATGATCTATATGCTGCTAACATCCATCGTTTAATTATACTCTAACTCGTGATTCTTTTTAAAGGTATAGACCGTAGTGTTAATAAAAATAATGTTTAAATAAATATATTGGGCTACTTTTGAAGTGACTGTGCACTACTGAGGCAGTAAAATATAGCCTTGGGAATCCTGGTTAAAGCCGCCCCCACCCCCTACCAAAATCTGAAATGGTGCCCCTGTTTGGAACTCCCCTTCAGGTAGTTGAAGGCTGCTATCAAATCCCCCCTCACTCTTTTCTTCTGCAGACTAAATAAGCCCAGTTCCCTCAGCCTCTCCTCATAAGTCATGTGCCCCAGCCCCCTAATAATTTTCGTTGCCCTCCACTGGACTCTCTCCAATTTGACCACATCCTTTCTGTAGTGGGGGATCAAAACTGGACGCAATATTCCACATATGGCTTCACCAGTGCTGAATAGAGGGGAATAATCACATCCCTCGATCTGCTGGCAATGCTCCTAGTAATGCAGCCCAATATGCTGTTTGCCTTCTTGGCAACGAGGGCACACTGCTGACTCATATCCAGCTTCTCGTCCACTGTAATCCCAAGGTCCTTTTCTGGAGAACTGCTGCTTAGCCAGTCAGTCCCCAACCTGTAGCAGTGCTTGGGATTCTTCCTTCCTAAGTGCAGGACTCTGCACTTGTCTTTGTTGAACCTCATCATATTTTTTTTGGCCCAATCCTCCAATTTGTTTAGGTCACTCTGGACCCTATCCCTACCCTCCAGCGTATTTACCTCTCCCTCCCAGTTTAGTGTCATCTGCGAACTTGCTGAGGGTGCAATCCACCCCATCATCCAGATCATTAATGAAGACATTGAACAAGACCAGCCCCAGAACCGATCCCTGGGGCACTCCGCTTGATACTGGCTGCCAACTAGACATCAAGCCATTGATCACTACCCGTTGAGCCTGACGATCTAGCAGCTTTCTATCCACCTTATAGTCCATTCATCCAAGCCATACTTTTTTAACTTGCTGGCAAGAATACTGTGGGAGACCATATCAAAAGCTTTGCTAAAGTCAAGTAATATCACATTCACCTCTTTCCCCATATCCACAATGCCAGTTATCTGATCATAGAAGGCAATCTGGTTGGTCAGGCGTGGTATGTCCTTCGTGAATCCATGTTGACTGTTCCTGATCACCTTCCTCCCCTCCAAGTGCTTCAAAATGGATTCCTTGAGGACCTACTCCATGATTTTGCCAGGGACTGAAGTGAGGCTGAATGGTCTGTAGTTCCCTAGGTTCTCTTTCTTCCCTTTTTTAAAGATGGGCACTATATTTGCCTTTTTCCAATTGTCCGGGACCTTCCCCAATCACCATGAGTTTTCAAAGATAATGGACAATGGCTCTGCAATCACATCAGCCAACTCCCTCAGCACCCTTGGATGCATTAGATCCACTCCCATGGTCTTGTGCATGTCCAGCTTTTCTCAATAGCCCTTAACCCGTACTGTGTTGCCCAGGACCGCAGTCTAAAGGAAATGCTAGGTTAAAGTCATGCCTCCCACACCAGATCACACTTGGACTTTTTTAGTATTGACAAAATAAACTGAAATAAAATTATCTTAATCTGAAGCAAGAGTCTTGTACCTTAACCAGGTGTGAATTCAAACTGATTTCATTAGTCAGTGTGTATGCAGAGAGGCCCTCAGGGAGTTTGGAAATTTCACACAGACCAGCCTAGAGAGGGAAACGACCTCCCAGGAGAGACAGAGAAGGGCCGGGTGTCTGGAGCCTTCCGCGTGGGATTCTTGACCAGAAGAGCACAGGCTACTGAGTCCCCTCCCAGCAGGGGTGTGACTCACAAGGCTTTGGTCCAACAGACTCATGGGAAATGCCCAAGAGCCACAGACAAGAACTGAGGTTAAAGGGCCTATGGTGGAAATTATATGTACACATCCCATCCCCCGTGCTTCTGTGGCTGTTCCTTTTCAACAGTCCACCGATTCCAGCTAGTCGGGGACTAGCAGGCGTAAGGTGTGAGGCATTTTCCTGCAGCCACATTAGGAGAGCAGCAGCCATAAGCCAAGAAACAGAAAGTCCCATCCTCACATTCCATCTAAATTACATCAAAACAATGTAATATCGGGCTGTTAAGGAGGAGATCCTCTCCTAATAGTACCCACCATCACCAGATAAGCAAGGAATCTCTTAAGATGTTTAAAGAAAACTTTGCTTGATGCCATTCTGTTTGGAAAGAAATCACTTATCAATAGTTGTGGGTGTGAAACCTCTACTTCT